GGTGGGATAAAGATCTCATATTGGAAATATGTAAGGGACTTGAGTAATATATAAGTGACTTAGACCAATCCATTAATTTAATCCATTAATTTCTATTAATTGCCAATTAATTTTTAAGTTGGAAGCTCAAGAAACTTATCAATATTTTTATAGGTGAATTTTTTTTTTATAGAAAGTTCATATAGATGATTTTTTTAAAAAAAATTACATCTACTAAGAAGATACAAAACAGCAACAAGAATATTATATTTTTCCGGTAAAAACTATTGTTATTATGTTAAAAAAAGGGTTATACGTGAAGGTCGAGTGGTGGAGGCTTATTTTGGAGTCGTACGAACTGGCCATGCTCTTGATTTTTCTCTGCCTCAACGCGTTTATGATTAGCTCATTAATGTCGTGAACACGCTTACTCTTTGCATTGTTATATAGATGAAATAGTGAAATCAGATAATTTTACAAATCAATGCTCCTAATATAAATTTTTTTTCTTTGATTAACCTAGGGGTATCTTAGACCCATGAAAAGACCCAGACTAATCTCCAAGAGGAGGTGCAGTCCACGGATAGACCCTCTCTCCGGGTTCCTAATACAATATTCAAAAGAGACATAAGGATGAACCCTTCTGTAATTGAGTTGTAGATAGAAGTAGCCTTTCATAATTTTCCTAGGCTTTTAGAATTTAGACTTATAGTTTAGATATTACAAAAAAAAATTATCAACAACGCTTTTTGCTTAGAAACTTTGTGGATTCGCCCTATTTAAAAAAAAAACGTTGTTGAACATTATAAGGTCTATTTTGTGAATTTCTCTCCAGTAAAAAAAGAAAACGTTAAGACATCATACTGGTCTAATCCTAGACATTCTAAGATCCCTTTGAATATGTTTGAATAACAACATAAACGGGAAAAGTACGAAACGTTTGAGCCTAACATTTGTTTTTGAGTAATTTTCACTCAGAGGCAGTTTACAAGTTTTTATTACACATTAAGTCACTTATTGCTACTAGGGCAGTTTTCTCTAACTCTCTACCTTCTTTTTCTAACTAAGACTAACTAGAAAAAATTGCTAGTTTACTAAAAAAAAAAGTCATGAACTTTTGAAACCCAAAAACCATCAAAAATAGTTTTCATCTTCTTTATTTTAGTTTCCACCGATGATTAAACAAAATTATAACAAAACCCAGAAAATTACAAAGGTAAATCGAAAGCACCATAACCCAGCTTCTTTCTTCGCTTGTGTTCTATAATCTATCTCTGGAATAAACTCCTTCTTTGTCGCAACATGCTCAGATAGATGCAAACGTTTATGGGCAATTCTGTTTTTCGTTTGATTTTAATCTGTCAAAACTCAAAATTTATGGGAAGTTTTGTTTTTCGTTTGATTTTTCGATCTAATTGATTAATTACTACAATAGTTTTAGGTTTTAGAGGTAAAAACGAAAGAAAATGATGATTGTTTGAAGAAAATCAATGGCGGCTGTGAGATTTAGTTGCAGAAACGCAAGATGCCCTAATAGGAAGAAGATCATTTAATTACAAAATTGCCACTCGTTTTAAAACATATGTGTACAATTATATGTGTACATGTGTACGTCTTCACATGTGTACACTCTTTATTACTAAAACAATGTACACTCGTCATGTGTATACAAAATGTGTACAATGTACACAGAAAACCCTACTAAAAAGAAGGTGAACTAATTATAAAATTACCCTTCATTAAAAAAAAATTAATTAGATGAGCAGTGGATGTGTACACTAAGTTAGTGTACACATGTTCGTGTACAAGGGTACTTTGGATAACCACGTGGATATGTACATAATATTAATATACACATGTACATGTAACATGTTAAAGAGATAAATTTGGCTTTATAAATATAAAGACAAAAAAACGTGGTTTACGTGAAGTAAACAACATGATTATATATGTACATGTACACATGATTACATGGTGGACCTAAGTTTTTAGCAAACATTTGTGCCTAATATTTAGTTTACATTTTCCAATAATCCCAATGGTGTGGTATACAAATATTATAAATTTGAAAGCTAAGAATGAAAAATATACATAAAAAATGAGATTTATGTTATTCAATAAACGTTTACTTTTTATCACTTTTTATTGATTTTGTAGCTTAGTCTATGTGGATAATACCTTATGTGCACACTTTAATCATTTTTGTATATTCATGTGTTCTAACATATGTGATACACAGATGTGTACATGTTTCTTTCACATACATGAGCATGTTTAACATGAATGTCTAACTAAGAAAAATATGAGTAGTAAATGCGTACATGTGGATATGTTTTAGAAGTGTATATGTGTACGCCTAAATTTCAATAAAAAAAAAAGGAATGTATCGTGTGGTGAAAATGTGATAAGTGAATTAATGATTCTACATTATTCAAATATGTACATGTTAAAGCTTGCTTCGTGGATTATAATGAATGTAAACATACTACAATGTATAACTGATAAATGAATTTATGGTTCTACATTATTGGTTCACTTTTGACGTACACATGTACACGTTTCAAAGTGTACGCGAAATATCATGTCCATTTGTCTTTAACTTATAATTTCTTCAAGTTTCTACAAGTGTACACATCACAAAGTGTACACAGATGTCATTTGTTATTCTTGTTCAAAAACAAAATTACTCTTAGATGTGGCTATCTATGCATGGGTATACACGTGGACAATATTATATAAATAAATTTATTGTACATGATAGTACAACTTGTGTGTACACATGGACGTCATATGGTTGTACATAAAACAAAACAAAAAAGTGTGTATGAATTGATTAAACAAATATAAAAAATAACTCGATTTAATTATCAAAATTAAAATGTTTGAGCCAAAATCAAAAAAAAAAAAATCATGTATCATATGTCCATTCTGATTTTTTTTTGTCCTTACATATGTATACGAAAACTCTATGTATACATGTAAATTTATGTACATTGTGATTTTGTAAAAGTGTATTGTGATTTTGTACACCTATATTGTGTACACTACCACATTTGTTGGACATATGTACGTTACCAACCTTTAATTTACACATGTACACTAATGAATGTACATAACTTTACAACATGTTGAAATGTAACATGTGTCTCAATCATATGTGTACACTTAATTAATAAACATGTACACTTAGAATGTACATATGTACACATTTCTACGTGTACATGATTTTTTTAAAATAATTAATTCACCAGTGGCATAATCGTAATTATGTCATCTTCTTCCTAAATTTCTTAGGATTACAAATTTTGCAGAAATTTGAGATTTTTATCTCATTGGCATCTTGGATGGAGGAGCTGAGGATAAAGAGGGGGAAAAGAATTGGAGTTCTCAAACTGTAACTCGTTTTGATCCGTCAACTATAAACACCAAAAAAATCAACTTTTCTTTAGCTTTCATCATCTAGGGTTCCACAGTTCTTGAATCCAGAACACAAATTCATCAATATTTGTGCCTACGACAACAATTTGTTCTTATTTTTCTTGAGTTTTCTTCCCTACAAATTGTATCCCTCTTAGCATTGGTCGCTGCCATTTCGCCTAATCGAACGTCGCCGTTAGGTTGTCGATTATTTTCATTATCTGATTAGTGACATAGATGTGAAGCTGCTAGAAAAAATAAAAAGCATCTCATATGAGATTTAAAAAAAGAAAATGCCTAAGTAAAATCAAAAAGGGAGAGAGAAAGATGTTAGAATCCTCGTGCCTTTCAAAAGTTTAGTTGATCAACTTTATGGTTAGTTAACTTATTTAGTTAGCATATAGGTAAAAAGTGAATTTTGGTTAGAAAAAACTGCTCTAGTAGCAAGATCTGTCCCATACTGATATAAAAAACTTAAAACTGCCCTGTGATGTAATATTTTCTTGGTGTGACGACTGCCGTTGAAAATAGTGCCCGGCGGCATCTGAATTTTAAGAAAAACATCAATTTCATCCCTAACAAAATTCCTTTCACGCACATGATTTGAACTGAAATATATGGGATTATACACATTTATAGGCTAATCTTGATAAAAAATGATAATTTAGAGATCATGCGACGTATACTTAACAAAATTTAAAATTCTGAAAGTCAAAAATGAATGTTTCATCCAAGCACAGAACTTGTTAATTCTACCCACGCGTTACATTGTATCAAATCGCTAATACCATACCCCAGAAGATTGAGCCTACTTAACCAATTGATTAAGTAGTTGACTAAAAGACTAACTAATTAAAATGTATTGAATTGATTAACTTGATTCAATTACGACATAGACTCAACCTGATCCATTAAAGATTATTCTGATTACTGCATGCTGATTAATACTAACATATATACTCTCCGTTATGAATAATCCCTTTCTTTTCAAGTCATAATTGTCTCCTACGATTTTTTGCTTTTTCTTTTTTAGTTGAATCTTTGACTTTGGCCGCCTTGCAAGTTAAATACCTTTCACATTTTAAAATGGTAATATTTTTATCTTTCTGGGAATAACAATAGCATACTAGAAACAAACGGAAACACAACTTAAAACAACTTAAGCAAAAAGTGAATAAAAAAACCAACTAAGTCATTCAAGCGACTACAACTTAAGAGACTAACACCACGGAAATGAGGAGACTTGTCCAGACACATTCAAGCGAGACACACGGGCTGCTGTCTAAAATTTTATCTTTAGTTTTGAGTTCTTGATTCATTTCTTTTATGCACAACCGACTGAAACTGCCAAGAATCTTCTTTAATGACTTTTGGAACGCTTGTTTGTATTTTCAATTACTTTTCCCAAATTAAATGCAATTTCATGGAAAGCATATACTGTAGTTTGAAAATTCTAACCAAGCCAGACCTATGCGTGCATGTGGTAGACTCTCACTTTAGACTTATTATTTAAAAGAAACAAAAACAAGCACAAAATACAAATAGTGATTCCGCCAATTCATTAATTAGTCATCTTTTATCAACATTCTAAAATAGTAACCCATTCTTTCTCTATTTATCCTCTATGCATATATATATACATGATACTTCGTGCTTTCATAGCAAGTAAGCAACCTCCAGTCTTAAGAATTATATTAAATTCATCTCTCTCTCTATATATATTTCTCCGACTCTAATTGATCATTTTCGCCCCAAAGATCAAAGGTTGTCATGGCCGTTCGCTTAGTGACCATTTGGCTTTTCATAGTCTTGGCTGTCATTGTCGGGGCCTCTCCGTCGCCAGTTGCTTCAAGAAAGCTGTTGGAGATGAAGAAACAGCAGAGCTTGACGGTGAGAGAGGATGACAAGAACCACGTGACCAAAACCACTACCCTAACTGCTCTACCAAAGGGAAAAATCTTAAACTCGACGCCAAGCAAAAAGACTCACGCCGCCGTAAAGCACCGATCTCGACACCTCTCCACCGTTGACCGGTTTCTCCAGTCCGTTCCCAGTCCCGGCGTTGGCCATTGATAGTCTTAATTTGTTAAGACTCCTACTTCATTTTTTGTCAATTTAGTGCATTCTTTATATCATATACGCTGACCGAGTAATATAAGGTTATGCCACACATGTTTTAAATAATAAGTTAATATATCAAAAGAGCTGTCCTAACCAATTTATATATCATTTGAACCTTGATGTAAAAGAATAGCTAGCTACGTCAAATCAAATGGCTAACAAACAAGCAAATGAATTTAAAAATAACCAGTAATACAGATAAACAAACGTTGTAGTGTTCGACGTTACTTACTATTCTAAAGTTCAAAAGATGTGTGTTAACCAATAAGAACGTCTGGACTGCAACGCATAATTTATTGAATGGGGCGTGTTTTTGAAGGAAATATATGATTGGTAGTATATTAGCACACTCAGTCATCATGGACGTACACGGTACAACTCTTGGGCTACAATACAAATTAGAGGTCGTTTTAAAACCAACCGACAAAATGAAAGACAAGTGCATTACATTTTTGTATACATTTTCTTTGCGTTAAAGATAGCTTTCACACTAGTTGTAGAATCGATTGTCAGGATGGGCAGGCCCGCAGTGAGAGTTGTGATTCAATTAGTGAAGTTAGGATTAGTCGACTTTTTGACAATTGTGACTATGATGAACTCATTTAACTTATCAGGCCCGGCCCATCGAGTGCAACAGCCTTAAGGCAAAAACAAAATTTGCACTCCAAAACTGATATCAAACGCCATTTAGGAGTTCTAATTAAGAGAATTAGCTCCCTGAACTCTTATGTTTCTGTACAGAAAGATCAGAACTATGTTTCTTATCTCTCATTTTGAGAGTAAGTCCATTCTAACATGAATTAGCTTGTAATTTTTGAGTATCAATTCATCTAAAACTCTATAGATCATTATTTATCAATATCCATATTTACAACCTTGTACAGCAGTTTCATGAGATAATATCCTGCTCATATATTTGCCTTCTCTTCCAATGTAAAACCCAGAATTGCTCCTGGCTTAAAGTTTAAACAAGTGGGTCAGACCCATCAGCTGAAGCTCTTCTCGTTGAGACATCCACCGAACTCTGTCTTTTTATACACATGAGCATAACTAAAAGTTGGTTTCTGGTTAAAGTGACCATTCTCTTATAGATCAAATAGCCAACTGATTAAAATTTACAGTAACAAAAATGTATTGAGTGAATCTTAAAAAAAAAAACTGATTCCTGAGTTTCATTGTATGTTATTAATTTATTATTAATTGTTTTTTTTGAAATTTATTCGTTTCATCATTACTTTATGCCAGACCAACCCGCATGCAACTATAATAAATAAAACGAATCAATTACTATACAAAGGCATTTAATTGCTGCCTAACAAGTTAGATTTCAGATATATAAATGGGTCGGGTGTGGGGACTCTTTTATTGGTCAATCGTTCTCACTGGATTGATTGTCTTACGTGACACAGATCTGTCTCAGTCTCTTACCCAAACACGATCTTAGCTTTCACTCTCTCCCAACAATTCACTATCTACACGTTTTCTAATAACTTAAACTCATGTTTACTATTCAACACATACTTATTGATTAATATGGTACTTTAAAACTGTCATTAGAAACTAAGCACGTCAATAAAGCCACTCCAACGCAAATGTTTGACTACAACAAATAAACGATTCTAATCTTACTTTTCAAGTCACTCCACATTTCATAATTAGAAGATATCTTATTTTTGTATAAATAAAAAAGCTACGGCGAGATAACATATTATAATAATACTAATTTTAGCTGCAAAAACTATTTACAGGCATGGTCCCGACCAACTCCAGACACTGTAAGCAAATTTCAGTTATATATAACATGTAAAAAAAACATAGAATACTATTCCTCTTCCATGCCATTCTACTTTGCTGTGTTTTATAACCTAAACTTAAAGAAAAAAAAAGGAAAATTCTCATATAATCATTTTCTGTCACTAAACTACTTTGATGATGATTGTCCTTCGCGCCATTTTCTGTCACCGTCACATTCTCTCACCCCTTTCAAAACAGGTCCCACATGCCAGTCCTGCTGCCAATGAATCATGTCCCACCATTCTCTTTACACGCGCCACCGCTCTTTTTAATTCGCCGGCGCGTGTCAATCCCTCAACGCGTGAAAATAAACTTTCTGAGTTTCTTTTTTCATGAGGTACTCGGCGGAGGAATACCGGTCACCGGAGATAAGTAAACCTGGCTCTGTATCACGTTATCTCCGATTTTAAACCCGGGAACAACCGTGAACCCGACCCGGATATCTGCATTATCATCAGAGGAGAAGAGAGACTCGTCCCCTGACTTCACGCTCTCCATATACACCTGAGAGAATCTACAACCTTTTTTAATCTGAAACACCGTGACGTTTTCGCTGATACAAAACGCCAAGCAGTGCAGAAGCCAGATCCGTTTAGCCATCTCACAAAACGCAGCGAAGAAACCCGAATCCGGAAACCCGCCCGAGTTAACCAGCTTCCTCTGGTTCAAGTTCCCGAAGAACGAACACTCCATCTTCGCGTGCACAACGCTCAAGTACTTGTGCAGCACAAATCTCGCAAAGGAGGAGCCCGGGTTTCGGGTCAAGTACTGAACCGGGTCGACGGATCTCATGTTAAAAAACCGCTCACGGCTCGGTTTCTCGTTAGGTAACGAAAACTCAGGAGATTCGAAACTCTCCATCATTTTACAACACACGAAAGATTCAAACGCGAAGCAACGGTGGCTCGGGCGTGCGAAAACGCTCGACGCGTTTCGAACCGCGGCTGAAGCGGCTGCGTTTAGATCCCACCCCGCTGATTCCATCTCCTTAACCATAGATTTAACGAAGCTACGTACGGATCTCAACGTAAACCCTAGAACCTGAACGTAACTGCTCAAATTCAAATTCGTAACGTTATCTAACGGAGAAACGGAAGAACCACTCTCCGTTAGCTTCTTCTCAACTGATTTATTAACGGCCAAGATCTCCTCGAGATTCTTATTTAAGGACTCGATTCTCAACTGTTTCTCCGCAGCTTCGGTTTCAAGTTTCTTGATCGTGATCTCGTAAGTCCTCATCAAGCTCTGCTGCTCCTGGATCTCAGCGAGCATAACCGCCACTTGAGGAGAGATATTCAGCTCCTTCCTCAAGAAACTCCGTTTCAGCTCAGATAAAGCTCTGAGCTCCTCCACCACCGCCGTATCCGCCGCCTGTATCGCGGCGTTGTCGTACGGACGCTGCGCCATCTGGAGCTCGGCGTACGCGGCTTTGATCGAGGTCGTGCTGGCGAAGATCTTGGCCACCACGGCTTCGAAGACGGCGCGGCGGCGCTCTCGTGTCTTGAGCTCGCCGCTCCTGCTGCTGCTGGTAGTGCTTTTGAGATCGAAGACGGAGGAGGAGGAGTCGGAGTCGTTGCCGTCGGCGTCGAAGTTTGGGTTGTTGTGTGATTTTAACATACAGATTCCGATTCCGTTGTTGGAGGAGACCTTCGTGGAGGTTGTTCTGAGGTTGCATACTTTCTGGAATGTTCTCGCCAGTTTGCCTTTTCTTCTTACGGAGGGGTTCTTCTTCAGTGTTTCCATTGAAACGGAGCTTTAGAATTGGAGAGTATTGAGTTTTTTCTGATACAGCAAAGGAGAAAAGAGTGAGCGAATTGTTTTTATTTAATTTTTGTAAGATCGAAATAATACGCAAAGCGTGAAAGCGTGGGAAAGATGATGAGAGAAGGAAAAAAAGAATTTGATCGTATTATGTCTTTTTTTTCTCTTTTTCTTTTTGTATATTTTTCTTTAATAATTTATTGAGACAATTGGTGTAATCTACCAAACGAAGATCCAAATTGACCGAATGTCCAAGGATGTGGATAATCCAAAAAGGAGTAACCTTTTGACACTGTGCGGACGAAAATGCCCTCTTACTTTATCGAAAACATGTAACTCTAGATTTAACGGATACACATTATGTTAACTGAACACTAAGAGATATTTATAAATTTTAACATGATATAAAAATTGTTAGCAAATTGACAAAATTTTAACATGCTACAAATTTTGTTATCGGGTTACGTTTATTTATTAATGTGTTAAATAAATCGCTAACAAACAGGTTAGCATGTTAACAATACTATTATCATAAAAATACATATATTAACCGCTAATCAATTATCTATCAAATAACCGTAATCCTATTTGTAACAGCTAACACTCTATGTATCGGTTACAAATTTATTAAAATATAATAATAACGGGTAAATAATGAAATAGTTGCTAACTTACATATTATCCAAATAAAAGAATGTATATTTCAAGATTTGAAATTCGCAATAATAAAATTAGTGTGAGATAATAACATTAGCAATATGAGTGTCAAAAGAATCAGAGTAAAAAATAGAGATTTATGATGAAAAAATGAAAGCATAAATATGTCATGTGTGAGAGATAAAGAGATTAGAAGATAGAGAAGAGAAGAGAGAGAGAATGAGATAGGGGTATAATGGTCAGACAAAATAGTTTCTATTTTGGAAGGTTAGATGACAAATCTCTATAATATTATTTGAGAAGTCAGTTTCCTATGTGGCGCGCTCACGTTGACTCTTACACCGGTTGATTACTATGATACCCTTGATGAATATATTTAAATAATATTATTAATTTTATGTTTAGTTTCCTTTTTAAAATATAAATAACTTTTATAATAAAAAGGAAAAAAATATTAAATTTAAAAACGAAAATATATGTTTATATAATATGATTTCATTAAAAAGGAAAGTTCACAAAATAGTAAAATAGTATTATTAATTTTGTATTTAGTTTCCTTTTTAAAAATTTCCAACTAAAATTTATAATAGAAAAAAATCTATAAATTTAAAAGGAAAAATTAAAAACGAAAATATATGTTTATATAATATGATTTCATTAAAAGGGAAAATTAACAAAATAGTAACATCCATTAAAAATATTTTAAATAACATAAAATGTACTTTTTAATTAATAAAATACTTTCTTTATATCTGTATTTTCTTATATAAATATATATATTTTTATATAATGTGATTTCATAACAAAAAATTCACACATATAATTTTGATATTTGAAAAAAAAAATTTACTTTTAAACATAATATTAAGTAACATAAACAAGTATATGTTTTTATTAGCTAAAATAGTTTTTAATTAAAATTATTGAATATTTTTTTTTATTTTCATATATTTAGTTGACTATAGTATCTTTCAACTAAAGCAAAAAAAATATCTATAAATTAAATTTTACTTCTATAATATGATTTCTCAAATACAACCACAATTTTTACTGCTTATTTTTAAGAAAAATTAAAATATTTTTTTAACAATAAACATCTTTTAATCAAATAATTACAAAATATTTTAAAATATCATACCACTATATACTTTAATGACATAGATATGTTATATTCTATCATTATTTAAATTATATGTTTCTTAATTTTAATTTTTTTTTTAATTTTATGTTTGTGTAACTTAATATAACCATAATAAAAATACCAAAGCAAATCTGAATCCTCATTTTTAAGATTATTTAAAATAATTTCAGTTTATCATTCAATAAAGCTAAGATATAAAATTATTTAGAATTTATAAAATATTTTAGTTATTGTAAATATTGATATGTGTTCATGAATCTCCAAAAATATATGAGTTACTTAAGTATGTAACTTCCTACTGATTATTGCTTTATTTTGTACTATATTTTAGAGAAACATATAACTTGATAAATATTATGAAAATACGTGCACATTTAAATGATAAATAATATTACTTTAATTTGATTTATTTTGTGAAATTTATATATATGCATGAGACTTCAAAGATTATCTTTATATCGATTGATGTAATTTGAAATCAAAATTATTTTATATTTCATTATAGGCATAATATATCTTAAGTTATAAAT